TATGAGTTGGTTATACTAATTTTATTCAGGTTGATACTAAGCACTTTATTAAATGAATTTGAGCGACAATTTACAGTTATATCCTATTTTCTTTAATATATATATTTTTAAAATTGGTTCTATTTTGTAGGTCTGTAGTTTAAGAAACTTCTACATTTAGTCCTTGTTCCAATGTTGAAGTATTTTCTTTTGCAAAAAATGAAGAACTATAAGCACACATTATAACAGTATTAGTGTTTCAACATTAGGCGAGCTTATTGTCTAAAAGTTACGTCTCCCACTCTTCTTTTTCCTTCATTTTCTTATTTACAAGAAGAAAAGTTTTCCTATGCAAGTAGAAAGTCATTTTCTTTTCTAATGAAATTACTTCAACTAATCTCAATTCAAGCTTAAAAAGAGTCTGACTAATCACTTTAACATGAAACATTATTATTTTACATTCTGCTTTCTCATTCGTGATGAAATAACTCAAGAAATAAAACCTTTGGTAAATCTTCAACTTCATTACTGCATACTTTCTTAGCATGTAAGAGCATCCTCAGAAATGCAAGCTTGTAATATGATCTATTATTAAGTGTTTACTTGCAGGTTAGAGATTTTGGTATTGCAAAAAAAGAGGCAGATATAAGTTCCTATGCTGGTTATGTGGGTAAGGTTCCTTTTAGTCCTTCCATTCCATTGGTGTGTATGAGTACAATTTATAGACTTCCAAATTAAATTACTGGTACCCAATGAAATATGTTGTAGGATCTGCATTCATGTTTGGCAGAGGATTGACATCTGTACCATGGGGAATGGTGGCTGATCAATATGGTCGAAAGCCTGTTGCAGTTTTGGGAATAATTGCAGTGTAAGCAAGCCTTTCACTGATTTGGATGCTTTCTTTTAAGCCTTGAGATAAAGTATTCAATACTGATAATACTTCTTATTTGACTGCAGCGTTGTGTTCAACACTCTATTTGGCCTTAGCACAAGTTTTTGGATGGCTGTCACCACAAGATTTCTTCTTGGAGGCTTAAATGGATTGCTTGGACCAATGAAGGTACCATTTTTAGATGTACCAGATGGTGGTTATTTAAAATTGTGTGAGTTGATATGCAGTCTTTAAAAAGTACACTTTGGCTCAATTTGGTACTCCAAAGTTTTAATTTCTCATTTTATGTTTTCAAAGGATATTTGTCTTCAATAGCCTATTCATATAAAATTCATATAGGGGGATGAAATGGATTAATGTCAAGTTGATGTGATCGTTAAGTTAGTGCCCAGTGGTCGTAATAAGATATGCCATGACAGGACACCATTCTGTTTTAGTGCTTTGCTACAGCAAATTGAAATGACCAAGGGGGCATATAGATGCCCTATTAACTTTGTATTATGTCATAAGACCCATTTTTAATAGTTATTTGTTAATGGGTTAAGGCAAGGAAATCTTGAAGATGAAGTACTCTTTGAAAGACTTAAAATGAGACATCCATCCAAACTAAAGAGATCAAACTGAGACAGGGTATCTTTAGTAGTCTGAAATTTAAGTTCACTACCAGCGCTGAGGCACAATTAGAAGTTTGAATTTGTTTACTTGATAATCAGTCCGTCTTTTTTCTTTTTTCCAAGATTTGTTTCTATCTGATTGTAGATGTTTAACCTCCTTTAACATATCAACATCCACTTTCACTAGGCTTATGCTGTTGAAATTGTTCGAGAAGAATACCAAGCTATAGGACTCTCAACTGTAAGACTATTTTACGTTGATTTGCATTTAGTTCTTAGTTGCACTTTTCTTCATGGTAATTTGTTAGCGTGATCTGGTTTCAGGTCAGTGCAGCTTGGGGCATTGGTTTAGTCGTTGGCCCAGCATTGGGAGGCTATTTGGCTCAGGTACTTTCCTCTTTGCCTTGTGCGGTAAGCTATATCTTAGAATAGGCTTTGACATTTGCTCATGGAGACATGAGATAACTTGTTTCGTTGGTGGAACTCCTCATAGATTGAGTGTTTATCTTTACCTGAAGTCTTATGTGTGGTTTGGAATACAAAATATGATAAAATAAATGGAATAAATGAATGACTTTGAGGAGGAAAATGACTCATGTGCCCGTACTTTAAAAAGTAACAAACTTGACTCTTGCGCCCTATCTAGAAGGGAATGAGAAAAATATTTTGAGGATGACCCTGATCCTTCTTTAAATTTTACATTTTGAAAGTCATTTGTTGACATTCCATGTAAGTAGGCATATTGAGACAGCTGATAGCCTGAATCTCTGTATTTTAAAATAAAGGAAAGGATGGTAGCAATTAAACAAATACTCCTTTACATGTTTTACTTATTTCTAAAAATGAAGTTGTCATGCCTATATGTGTGTGTGTGGAAGCATGCTCATAAGAATACTTATAAATTATTTCTCTACTAATTTTTGGGAATTTTGATTGCAGCCAGTGGAGAAATATCCACATATATTCTCTAAAGGTTCATTTTTTGATAAGTAAGTTCCCTTGTCCTTCTTTTAAATGATAATAGTAATAGAAAGTGTTACAATGTTGGCTTCCCATGTTATTTTAATTTTATTGTATTTTCATTTGTCATTTTCCTTTATTTGTCAAGGTAAGTATATTCATTTGTGGAGACACATGACTTGCAGGTTTCCATACTCCTTGCCCAGCTTAATAATATCAGTCTTCGCACTTCTTGTGTTAGTTTCCTGCATCTGGCTCCCGGTATGTATGCCAAACAACCTGCATATCTATCAATAATTGTAACTTATATTTAGTACTAAGGTTATCAAAATCAAAGCCCAAAGCCACTAATCCTTAACACATTTATTTTAACTATCGCAAGCTCACTATTCCAAAACATCCTAGGCTCCAAAATGTCTAGATCAGCCTTATATGACTCTGTCCTGTTGATGTTTTGAGACTACCATTATCCTTCAATTCAAAAATATAATTTATATCTGCGTTGTTGGCATTTTATTTCTTTCTAAGGAAATTAATGAATCCCTTGAGCTCTCTTTTTTATGTATAGAGCCTCATTTTTGTTAAATCTATTGATAGATTTTACCTTTTCCAACTTTTTATTCATTTTATGGGTCTCCACGCAATTTTAACGTATAATATATTAGTGAAAAGAATTACATTACAAATACTATATTTTAGACTGTTTCTTTTTGACAAATAAGGACTACCTTCAGATATTAGAATAATGTAAGTAATGTTTTATACAATGTGAGTTGCTGCAGGAAACATTGCACAAGCACAATGATAGCAACGAGTCCTATCAGGATACAGAAGCTTTGGTAACGTAAACATAGGAAAGAGAGTTCAGAAAGATGAAAACATCTTACTGAATTGGCCCCTGATGTCATCCATTATTGTTTATTGTGTTGTCGCCCTACATAATATTGCTTATCAAGAGGTATTCTTCCTACTTAATAATGAACAACTAGTTTTGATGCATTTCCTATTATTTGTGTTGTTTGGGGCTCTCTTTTGCTTTCTATCTTGTTATCCATACCTGTATTTCATTTTGATCCTTGAACAATGCTGTGTCAAATATCAAATTTCATATACAAATGATTTGTGTGTGACTTTAGTTCTTGAAAGTATGATATTGTTCTTATTTTATTTTTCCAGATGTGTAGTAGTACTTTCATACTGAAATGATAATTTTACAATATTTCAAGGATAAAATACGCTGCAGTGTTGAAATAAATCATATTCTTAGATACTAAAGTGATACAAAATATTTTTGGAGCATTAAATTGAATATCTTTCACGGACCAACATGTTTGCGCCCCCCCCCCCCCCGAAAAAAAAAAAAAAATTCCCCCCTTATTCCGGGCTGTAAGTTACCGCCGTTTTACTTTTGCAGGTTTTCTCATTATGGGCCGTCAGTCCTCTAAGGTTGGGGGGTTTGAACTTTACAACCAATGATGTCGGTAATGTTCTTTCAATATCAGGTGTGTTCTTGATGGCTACAAATTTCTACGTATAGATTAATGTTGTAAATTATTGTGTTTCCTTTTAAACTTTCATCCCTAATTATCACATAAACTTAACTGCATTGCCTGACTAGGTCATACACTAACTTCCTCAAAAGCTCATTCTGTAAACCAGTCTTGTTGAGTAAATTTCAGTTATATGAATTTAGGAAAACTCTTGATAGGCATATAAAAGATTATCATACTTGGTTTTGTGTTGGGGAAACTTAGGTAAAGTCTCTTTGTTTTTATCAAGTTCTCCATTGAAAAATTAACTTGCAGAGCAAGTTTATCAGCTTTTTAGTTCTGCACCATGAAATATTCAAATGTGTCGAGTTTTTATTGGAGGACTTGACAGCAAACATAAAAAACTTCACTTAAGTTCTATCCTTTTTGATTTGCGGTCATGCATTCATCTAACTGAAGCCATACTCCATGCGGTGGTTTAATAACTGCTTTATAACCTCAGATTGATGTTTATTGGCATGCCTAGCCCCAAATGTCACTTTTTCTTCCTTTTTATAACGGCTCTTTCATGCGCCAATTGTTTTGAGTCTCAAACCAGTTGCTATTATTTCCATAATCTTTTGAAATCTGTTGAATGAAGTTGTTTAATAAAATTGTTCTGGACTGGACTTCTTATATGAATGTAGATTTATTTACTCTTGTTATTCATGCAAGTAAAATGGCAAGCACTACATATATGAACTTTTCATATAGTTTGAGACGGAATAGATGTGCATGGCAAAGACACAGTGTTTTGACATTTTCTGTGCGTTGATCTTTCTTTGTACCTAGTGATTATGCTGATTAATACTGGCTTTTTCTTAATTGGTTAGGTCTTGTTCTTTTGATGTACCAACTTTTCCTTTTTCCTGTGGTGGAGAAAGCTTGTGGACCTATTACACTTTCTCGCATTTCGGGGGTCAGCTTTTGCTCTCATGCAACAGTGCTATAATTCTGCAATTTCAGTGTTCGTTATTTTAACTGTACTGTTTTTTGGGTGCCATGTGCAGGCTATAACCATACCTCTCTTGCAAAGTTACCCTTTCATAGCATTGCTATCTGGCTTCACACTTCATCTATTGATAACTAGTGCTTCCGTCCTCAAGTATTGTCTCTCTGTAAGTGCATCTGGTTTTTAATCTTACCAAGCACAATAGTAATAATGAAGGGTTGAAGTGAAGTAGAATAGCTTAAATGGAGTATTTTTGCAAGTTTCTTCATTCTATTAAATATAAGCAGTAGCAATTATTAGAGATAAAGAGTCCTGCATTTAGTAATTAGAAGATGGATTAAGAATATATAAAGTTTAAGACGTGTCTAACCAAATAGCTATATTTTGGTGAAACAGATTACCATCAAGCATACTTAATACAAAGTGTTTAACATGGTATCAGAGCCATTTGATTGGGGGAAAAAAAGGAAGGAAAAAAAAAGAATGAATGAAAAGATGAAAAGAAAACAAGAGATTAAAAAAAAAAAAGAGAGAAGAAGAAAGAAAAAATTGAATAAACCTGAAGCCTCTATGACTTAAAAAAAAATGTACAAGCTTAGTCAAGAAGAAGAAGAAAGTGAAAAAAATGAGAAAAGAAAAGTAGTAGAGGAAATATTAGAGATAAAGAGTTCCACATCTTGTAATTAGAAGATAGATTAAGAATATACAAAGCTTAGAGTGTGTCTAACCAAATAGCTAGCACACAGGCATAGGGACACGGCAGTCATATATGTCCATTTGTAATTCAATTTATGTCATGTCATGTCCAATGTAGCTGTTTAACTTGTTGTGTCTCGTCATAGAAAGAGATGATTGTTGTCTTGCCAACGTATATAATGACGGAAGCGTTTGATTTAGAATCTATAGCCCTTTAAGAGCTTCAAATTTAAGAAACAAAGCAATTAGTCATCAGATTCAGTTAAAGCAATGTTGTATTGTTGTCACGGTAGTTCAATCATTTGAGTAAATTGGTCATTGTAATGTTAATTAAACTGTTTTTCCCCTTCCATTAAAAAACATGAATAACATTAAACGTACAAGACTGATTGAAATTTAGAGCTAAATTGTAATAATAAATAAACTGAATGGGCTAAAGATGCATTTAAGCCTACAATTTGTTTAAATGCTGAAAACAGTAAACTCTATCTCCTTCGTGCATTATGAGCTTGCCTGATTGTAATGTTTTTTCTTTTTGGCTGGACCCAGCAAACCATTATTACTGGATTAATGCTTCTGCAAAACAAAGCAGTGGTAAATTTTTTTTTTAGTTCAGTTAATTATTTATTTTAAAATTTTCTTTTTCAAGTTTTGAGATTATCAATATAGGGTTGGGCTAATATGGCATGTTGATTTGATAAAAAAACAGGAACAACATCAAAGAGGAGCAGCTAATGGTATTGCTATGACTGCTATGTCAATATTCAAAGCAGTTGGTCCTGCTGGAGGTGGTGCAATGTAAGTGTGCCTATGATTTTTCCCCCCAAAATTTATCTTTTTGCATGACTGATCATTTTTAGTGAAAAATATTGCTGGCAAATTTGAGCTAAAATGGGTGGATTGAACTCCGATTAGCAACTTGTCTTTGGCTCGATTTCGCTGACGATCTGTGATTTTTTATCATTTATCGGTAGCAGTATACCCAGCTTGAAGCTAGAATAACTTATCTGTTTGCATGACTTATCATTTTTGGTGAAAGATATTGCTGTCAAAGTTGAGCTAAAATGGGTGGATTGAACTCCGATTAACAGCTGGTCTTTGGCTCGAGTTCTTCTGATGATCTGTGATTTTATATCATTTCCCGGTGGCAGTTTACCAAGCTTGAAGCTAGAATAACTTCTAAATCCTAATTTTGTTTATTTATGAAAGTAAAGATTTAGAGTGAAAGGTCATACATCTGAATTGGTTAGAGGATTTCATTTATTAACTGAGACTGTCCAGAGGATTTTAACTGATCCTTATGTTTCTGACAGTTGCTAGGCTAATTTGTTATATATCCATAAGTCACAGCTCAAACTCTTAGTTTTTATACCTTCTTTTAAAAAAAAAAAAAATTGGTTCAGTTTTCATAACTAGAACTGATTTGGTTTTGATTGGTTTAGCTGGTCTTTGATTGGTTCCGTCACAGTCTGGTTTTAGGGGTTGTTCCGGAACGGACTAAGGAATAGTTCCTAATCCAACCAATTGAACCAGCTGGTTTGATCAAAATTTTTAAACAATGCAAAATATCACCTCTTCTCAATCTTCTGTTAATATGGGGGTCTTTTGTATTTTCACAAGGTGATGTACCAATGTTGCAAATATGGCTTAGTTTAACATGCTTGTTTTCAAAACTTATCTGCAGTTCACTGATTATGAACTTGATCAATGCAGATTAGCTTGGTCCCAGAAGCGGCTAAATGCTTCCTTTCTCCCAGGTATGATGCTACTGAATCTGATTGTGTTGAATTCTGTTTCATGTTTAGGGTGGCAACTAAGATAGTGCCCGACAAGGCTATGTATGGTGGATCCGAGCTTTTGGTATGATTAAGAACCTCAACATAAATCAGAACATCCATCCCACTTTCAATAACTAGGTGGATTTTCACTCATTACATAGATTCTGATGAATAAATTGTACTCTTCATAACTTGTAAAATGTATGACTTACTATAGATTTTATATTGAGAAAATATAACTGTTGGTCCTTGTACTTTTAATGTGTTTTGATATTGGTCTCTACATTTTTTTTTTCATTGCTCAAAGTCTCTTAAATTTCATCAATTTTCAACATTAATTCTTATCATTGACAAAATTAAATCTGCTGATGCGCGCATGACAAAGTTAATTCTATTGCGGAGTTGGTAAAAATTAAGATGATTTAGATATTGTATAAGCAAAATAACCACTAACATTTTTGCTTTTTTGTCCTAGTTGTCTTGTCTCTTTTTCCTTTTAAAGTTTCATCCATTACGTGTTTAAGGGTTTATGAGTTAATGCCTTGCTTTTTTTTTTTTTTTCTGCTACTTACTTTTTTATGAATTAGCATAATTTTAACAAATTGACATGAGAAATAACAATATTTATGTACATGTTAGCTACTGTTATGTCCTTGTGATCATATTTAAAAATATAGAAACTAATATTGTAGACATATGAAACTTAACGGATTTTGAAGTTTGAACAATGAAAAAGATAGGGACTAATATCAAGACATGCTAAAAATATAGGGATCAATAGTTATATTTTTGCTGACCTTGTAATTGTGGAAAATCAAACCGCAGGTTCTCACTTGGTGTTCTTCATCCTGAACCTAGTAGAAGCAGTAGGACTGCTGATGATGTTCAAACCTTTCCTGGCTGAGAAAGAGACAACGCCATCAAAACAGTTACAGTGATGTCAGTAATAACATACGTTTCTGCTGAAGCCTTGAGCGATGAATGAATGGAGCAACATTCATTATATTTGAGATATTTTTGTGAAGATGATGATGATGCTTTGGCTGGTTGATGCCAGAGCAAGATATAAGTAAGAAAACAAACATAACTTTGTCTTTCTCAGTCAAAATAAGGCTTTATTCATACCTTCACAGACGTCTCTCCCAGAAACAAAGAACAAGAAAACTAACTAGAAAAAAAAGAAAGTGGAAGGAGCAGGAAAATTAGATTCTTCACCTGGGTCCTTGTGTTACAAAAATAGCATTATGAGTTGTTAGGAATTTAGCAAGTAATTCAAGGTGTTTAACAAGTCATGTTGAGCATTTAAGGAATTAAACAAATCATTTTAAGCAGCGATTCACATTTGTTTTTTCATTTTTGTTAAAGACATTTTAGTTATTTGTCTTACAAAATTATTTTTATTTTAATCTTAACATTCTGCAGTGTAGTTTTAGATTTATTTGGTCTTGATTTGTAATTAAGTCATATTCATAGTCCTAACATGAAATTTTCTGATAAATAAATAAAGGATAAAATTGAATAAATTGAAAAAAAAATTAATTATTTTAATTTTACCTCATATTAAGTACAAAAAATGTTTTCAAAGTCTGCCTTATATTGAGGAATGAAGGGATATCTTTGCTCTATGTTTGCACCCAATAATACTTTAAAGGGAAAATGATAATCAAGGACACCATAAGAATATTATTATAGTTATAGTTTTAAATTATTGAAATTTCAATAATAAATCATAATTTTTAATCAAAATTCAAAAAATATAAATAATCAGTTATGAAAATAACAAAATATATTTAAAATTATTTATAATATTAGTTGAAAATTTATAAAAATTAGTTGTAAATTTAAAATTTTTATTGTTAATATAATAAATCATTTGAAAAAATTAACAACATACATTTGTAATTATTTATAATGTTAGTTGAAAATTTATGGAAATGAGTTGTAAATCGTAAGTTAATCATTTGCAATTTTTTTGCTACCAATATATAGATAATTATTTGAAAAACTTACAAATACACTTGATATTAATTATAAATTTATGAGAGTCAGTTATGAATCATCAGTTAATTACTTGTGATTTTTTACTATCAATTTATAAATATAATGTTTGGAAATCAACAAAAAGATATTTGAAAATTTTTTACAATATTAGTTGGAAATTTACAAAAAGCCATTGTAAATCTTAAGTTAATTAACACAAAATATTTTATTGCAAGTAAGAATTATAATTTATTATTAAAATTTTAATAATTTAAAATCTATAATTATGATTAATATTTTTATAGAGTCTCTAATTGTCATTTCCCCAACTTCAAACCTTTGTCCTATAATTAGGATAGGTGGGAGCATATAAACATTCAGTTCTCAAAGGAAGATACATAAAAAATGAAATTGATTGGAGATGAAATCAGATTATACATGTTATAAATAGTCTTGACTTTTTATAATTGTTTTAATAAAAAGGATTGAGAGATATTTTTATTTTTTTAACTATTCACGTAAAAGAATCATGTATTCTAAAAATATATTATTGTATGAATAGTTAAAGGGACAAAAATGCCATTGAATTCTAATAAAATTAAATTTTAAAAAATTGCCAAGCCAAATTAAATAAGTAAATGTAGTTGCTAATGAAAAAAAGAATGCAGTGCTACTGCAATGCGTTGAATGAATTTATAAATTTATGATTATCAACTATTATCACATGACGTTAACTTTTTCCTCAAAACCTAAGAAATAAAAAATACATGTTTTAATTGATTTATGTTAAAATTAACCAGTAAAAGTTAGATATTATATATCCATTTTTGTGCAAATATATATTATAAAAGTTATACCAAACTATATTATTTATAAATCATATCATATTATTTTTTTAATTTCACTTGTAATACATTTAAAACTCGTGTCTCATATCACACATTATTCATCAATAATATACTGATGTGATAATGTAATAGTGTCATTACAACGGAAGAAGCGCAAAAGTGAAGAATAATTCTCGGGACAACTCTAGTAGGGGTATTAACGACATTTCACCATGTGTTTTTTCCAATGAAACGGCCTTTAGCAGTTTCTGGAACACTCGAGGTGGTTCATGGGCCGTTCTCCACTTCGTATTTTTATCCTTCGACACTACTTCTCATGGTTGTGATCAAAGCTCTCGTCTTTCTTCTTCGTGCTCATCGTATTCGTCTTCACGTCTGCATTCATTGTTCTTATTCTTCCTCAGAAGATGAGGTTAGCTCGCAAATCCTAGTGTCGCCATGTTTCATTGCTTCTTTGTCTTCCATATGGGTCATCATTGGTGATAGTAATCCTGCAAATGCCAAAACAAACAATAATGGTGTATTTTTCTTTTTTCTTTTTTCTTTTTGCATTTTTGTATAAGAATGCTTGTGGTCAATCTGATTCAGAGCTAAGGGAATTCGATATTCTGACTATAATTCCCTAGTTTTCACTTTCGAGTATCTGCTTTTTAACGTCGCTTTTTTGCTTTCTTTCGGTGCGTAATTTTAAGAATTTCGTTTTCACTAACCAAGTGAGGATTGCATTATTGTACTCTAGTTCTTGTTTTCTATTTTTTTTTTTTACCAGTTTTTCATCCTTGGTCACTCTGTTGCTTGTCAATAAATCTTCTATTTATAATATTGTGCATAAGTTGTAGACAATAACTCACAGTTATTAGGTACCCTCTGACCGTAAGCAAGGATGTTATGGACATTGGCTTCTTAGGAAGATTTAGATCAGAAGCATGATTGGCACACTTTTTGACGACGCCCTTGAGATGATAAAACGTTTAGTTTCTCATTTATGATATCTATGATTATTGTGATCTATCTAGCTTTGATGGGGTTGGTTTTTCTGGTGAGAGCTTGAAACTTGTTTGAAATCTAGACCATGAGGACCTTTCAGTGTTTCTGATTAATTTTCTGATGAATGTTCTACCTTTTTTAGCCGACACCCTATTGTGAAGTGGGCTCAGAGATCAGACAAGGTTTATGTGACTGTTGATTTGCCTGATGCTAAAGATGTAAAGGTCAAGCTAGAACCTGATGGAAGATTTAATTTCTCTGCAAAGAAAGATGAAATTCCCTATGAAGTTGACTTGGATCTATTTGATAAGGTCAATGTGGAGGTACAAACAATCAATTCTGTAGGGTGATTTAGAATTTGACCTCAATTAGAATACTAATTGATGGTTGATGGCATTTTGTAGGACAGCAAATATAATGTTGGTGTAAGAAACATAGTTTATGTTATAAAGAAAGCGGAGAAGAAATGGTGGGACAGGTTGATCAAGCCGGAAGGAAAGCCTCCTGTGTTTGTCAAAGTTGATTGGGATAAATGGGTTGACGAAGAAGAAGAGAACGGTAGGCATTGTAATTATGATTTATTGGTAATCTATTGTTGTGTTATATCTGGTTCAGTATAGTGATATAGTTCCTTGAATTTACAGAGAGAGCAGGAATGGACTTCGATGACATGGATTTCTCGGTGAGTATAAAGTTTTCTAACGCAGTAAATAAGTTGTAATTTTTTCTCCTCCAGAAACTTAGGATAGATGTGAGGTTTTGACATGCTTTTTAGAGGTACTTCAACATGGATATTGCTATTTGCTTCTGAATTTTGGTATCTTGACTTATCAAGTCCATTGATTTTGGGAACAATGGGCAACAATGTCAGATGGGAAGTTGACTTTTAGTTGGTTAGACTATTCTATTGAAAGTATGTTTTCTTCTCAAGGGTCATTTTGATATGACCCAAATGTTATTAACTCTGTAAGAGTAGAATGGAGGACGCCTAGTAGTGTTTTTGCCAACCTTGGAAGTGGAATACTGATTATGGGGGATGGTGACTTAAGTTCATTCTCTTGGTTGTACCTTAGAAATGAATTTACCCAATTTTGCATTTACTGATTCTTATTTATAATTTTTATGTGTCAATTGAATAAGAAATTCTTAGGCAAAACTTTGGAGAAACAAAGCAATTATGGATTGCTTTGTTCTTCTAATTTTTTGTAAATCAAGTCAGTCTAATTATTTCTGTATCAAGTTATGTTCTTTTAGCTCTTTGTGTGTGACAAGTACCTTTGTCAAGGATAGTTGGTGTTCTCAGGATGTTTAACAAGGAATCGAAACAAGTCATGAGGCCTCTAGCTCGGTTTAAATCTTAGAACAAGTCATGTCTTTTTTGCCTTTCCAAAACTCCTTTTCAGTTCATTGCTAACTGAAAGTATATTGTGCAGAACTTAGACATGGGTGGGGATGATCTTGATTTGGATGATTTGAAGGAACAGGAAGGTTAGAGCTTTTGTGAACTTTCTATATAAAGTCTGAAGTAAATGTTCTACAAAACCATTTTTAGATTAGCATGGGTGGCTGAGTTTGAGTTACCTAGTGACTACCATGCCTGTTTGTTGTGCAGCAACTTAACCAAGATATGGTTTTGTAATTTTAACATTGGAGTATTTTCTGATACACTCTGTGCAGATGAAGTCGAAACGAAAGAAGAGGATGGGCAGAAAGAGATGGAGGTGGGAGAACCGCCTGCACCGGTGGCTGAGGAAGCTAAGTCTTGATTGCTTTGGAAAGACAGAAAACGGAGACCCCTATCCTTGACACGAGCTGTGTGAAAGTGAGGTTTTATGGTTACTGGATCAATGAATGCTTACAAACTCAAGGTTGCTGAAATTGTGTGCCTTTTCTTAGGTCTAGCCTTTCTCAAATTGTGTCTCTTTTATTGTGTGTAGGCATTCTCACATTAGCATGTATGCCATACTCTCTCTATGTTGTCATGGCAGTAAGGATCAGTTCTGGTAAAAGGACATTTCTGGAGTCAAAATATCATGATACATCTTGTTTATGGCTATAAACGTTTTATTTCTTTTTTTATGGGTGTAAAGGTGTCTGTCACGCCAAGGCGATAGCATTGAGAACGAGGAATCCCCATCTGTGAAAGATTGGGGGAAAAATTGCTTGAAACTAGAGTGAAGATGAAGAATAAAAAGGCAAAGAATTATCAATTAAATGATAGATTTGAATATCAAGTGGAGAGTAAATTATCAAGTGGCTAATGCGAGGACCACTAACCTCTCTTTCCATTCCTCTCCACTAACTTAAAATGAAATTTCTACCATTTTGATTTGATGCAGGGTAAATTTGGATGGATTAAATTTAAAGTTTTTATTTTTATTTATATTTTATTTTATACTTATTAAAATAAAAAAAAGGTTTTTAATAAATTTATTTTAGTATCAATTAAAACAATGCAAATTTAATTTATATGGTTAAAAACTTGATATTAAATTTTCATATATTAATTATTCAAATTTATTCTGAATGGTTTGAATT